TCAGCTGTCAAGGTTGTGTTTCTCCATTTGGATTTTTCTCTGAGTGTCACAACCAAGATGATCGTGCTAACTATAACCAATATAAACGCAGCGAATGGAATCAACACATTGTTGAGGGAGTAAGTGGTCCGTTCTATTTGCTCTCTGCCATCAGCGTAGATGAGTCCTAGAATTGTCTTGTTGAGGCTAGAAGAAAATTTCAACCCCAAACGTGCAATACTGTAAAGTGGACTGGCGGCGGCGATAATAAAAACATAGATTCCAAGCATTACTGCTGTTACTCTCTTGGGTGTAAAACAGGTTTTCACCTAGGAAGATAAACAGAGAAACATGATCCACAGTTTTGCTACTGAAGTAAATAACAACAATTCCGGGCTTGTATGGTGTGGAATAATAATGTGTAGAGATAAAAATCAGTAATGTTTATGGATGGGGTGTGTATGGGGGGTGGAGGGGGTGGGAGCGGACGGAAAAAAACAGACTATTTTCACGACTTTAGTGCATCTAGCGTATAGTGTTTATCATATATTTCTATTTTATTCACTTGCAAAATCATTACCTGGTCCCCATGTAAGTTGGTTCTGCCTTGGAATCAATAATTACCAGCCCCTCGCCCCCCCCCCCCCCCCGGACAGGCACACATATTTACAATAACAAAAGCAAATCCGCCTTGTTGCCAGTTTCAACCGTAGGCCTTTAGGGCTGGCAGGCGTACATTACAACTGAGCATGCAGGGTTTGTTGATTATAACTGTGTGTCCAATTCCTATTTTGTCACATTTAAACACAGCCACAAATAGAATCGTTCAGTGACCGAAAGAGTTGTTTTTCACCCCAGGAAAGAATTGGTCATATTAAGTTAGCCTCAGATTTTATAGACCAATCAAGGTTATACTAGCTATTTAACCCCCCACCCCCCTCCCCCGCCCTTATTTTTGAGTTATTGTTGAAGCAAAATGTAGAAAGGTCAAACTATCATTACGATTAACTTGTCGTTCCGTTTATATATCACATAGGGATAGGCAGTAACTTTCCACATGCCGTTCTAACAGGTTCGATCCTTATTTTTAAAGCAATGATTCTTCTTCTACCTTTCTAACCCCAATGGAGCATAGGCCCTCAACCAACTCACGCCAAGTCCTTTTATCCTTCACTAACATGTGCAGCTCTCTCCATGTCCTCCCAGTCTTATTACTTCACTCAATAGCCCCCTTCTCCGTGTTTTTGGTCTTCCTATATGTCTTTGCCCATATGGGCTCCATTGCAAAGAAACTAGTTATATTGTTCACTTAATTTCTCAGCGTGTGTCCTATTAAAGGCCAGCGTCTTTTCTTCACCTCTTGGTCCAATGGAAACTGTTTTACTCTCTCCCTAAGCTCTACATTTGTGACTTTATCATACAGTTTAATTCACTATATTCTGCACAAGCACCAATTAATGGTTGTTTGTAGCTTTACAGTAATTGCATTAGTTGTTCTCCATACAAAGTACTGATTTGACAGTAGAATTAAAAATGTAAAGTTTAGTGTTCGTTTTTTTTTTTCTAAACCTCCACAAATTTCCTGTTGCTATGAAAGCTCCTTTTGCCTTTTGTATTCTATGTAGATATCTCTATCAGTTTCACTATCTTTCTCTACGTTGCTGCCCATATAGGTGCGCCGCTCCACGTCTTGGAGTCTTGGAGGGGGGTACCATTCAGAGAAACAACATTACTATTTGCCTGATTTATTTTCATTATCTTTGTCTTTCCCTTATGGATTTTCAGATCTAGCCCGATTATCAGTTTGTTTTATATCATCTGCGAAGTCCCGATTATCAGTTTGTTTTATATCATCTGCGAAGTCCCGATTATCAGTTTGTTTTATATCATCTGCGAAGTCCAGATTATCAGTCTGTTTTATATCATCTGCGAAGTCCAGATTATCAGTCTGTTTTATATCATCTGCGAAGTCCAGATTATCAGTCTGTTTTATATCATCTGCGAAGTCCAGATTATCAGTCTGTTTTATATCATCTGCGAAGTCCAGATTATCAGTCTGTTTTATATCATCTGCGAAGTCCAGATTATCAGTCTGTTTTATATCATCTGCGAAGTCCAGATTATCAGTCTGTTTTATATCATCTACGAAGTCCAGATTATCAGTCTGTTTTATATCATCTGCGAAGTCCAGATTATCAGTCTGTTTTATATCATCTGCGAAGTCCAGATTATCAGTCTGTTTTATAAAGGATCAACGGAATTCTATTCCTTGTGCTGGCAGTTGCTATCATTACTCAGTGGTAATTCTAGGTTCACAAAAGTAATTTATACTCACCGCCTAATGTCACTAACAATGCAGTTTTACAATCTCTATCAATTAGGAATCGCCAAACAGCACTGGAATATGAAATAAAGGGATTGAGGAAACGAGGTTAAAAAAACGCAGGTGTTGATGAGAGACGAAATAGGTGCTGGAATTGATTCCATGTATGATTTCACAGGTTTTGCACATGACAGAGAGAATGGCGGAAAACATATGAGTCTTTAAGACATATAGTGGCATTACCGGACAATAAATAAATGAATGCATCTTTGTAAAGTTTAACCTTTCCTGGAGTTTGTATATATTGGATCAACTGTATGTGACATCTTCTTTGGTGAATTACAGACGTATAGGTAGAAGATGTCGTGGCCAACCACTACTACGATATAAAGATGTGTGCAAGCGGGACATGAATGACACACGTATTAGGGTAGATTCAGGTCAACAAAGTGCTATGGTCCGTGTTGCTTGGGGAAAGAAAATCAAAATGGGAATAGAAATAAAGGACAAAAATGACTGACCGCACGAAGGTTCGGAGCTTAGTGTCTTAAAAAAAAAACATTAATACATGTGATGGCAGCAATGGTAATGAAATCACATGCTCTAACTGTGAAAAACTTTTCTTAATGCCAGTGAGTCTTGCTACTCACACTCGCCATTGCCACTTCTGTGATTTCCACGCCTCTCAGTAGTTACTATCGTTTGGAAAACCGGAAAAGTGCCAACAATAAAACAACATGCGAAATAAACAAGTTTCATGATCATATGGTCTTCATTGCTACACTTTGTGTTGCACTTTTTATATCGTTATGACTAAAGCATAGGTGGTACCTTGAGCGGCATTGTAACACAGACACAACGCTCTAGGCTGATGAAGGCTGTGATCCAGCTGGTCACGTGTGTGAAGGTCACGTGTGGCCAAGCTCCTGTCAGGAACTGAGTATCAATAGGATCGAATGGCAGGTCCAGATGGGCTAATGCAGGGTTGTAACAGACGTTAGTCCATAGCATCGTCACCAGCGAGCAGAGATCCGAGATAGACAGACCTGGAGGTCAGCAGATGAATGGGTAAGCTAATTCAACAACAACAAATCTTAGCATAATATAAGTAACTGATGGCCAGGCGTGATTACATTTCTTAGAGTTAAATACAATGTCCACGTATTTGCTTGTTTTGACTACATGACTAAGGTTGTCAAACGTCCTCATTTTTAGGACAAGTCGAAGTTCAGGAGAAAATATTATCGTCCGCAAACAATTGCAGACAGATTTAATTAAAGTTAGTTGCGTATCCTTTACAGGACATGGCAGAACCAACCCCAGCATTTTTTGGGTGTTGTAGTTTTTCTAAGCAAATTTACGTCCAGTAGATTATCATTACTATCTGGACGGTCGGCTTTTCGATAACACTGTCGGAACCAACGTAAGGCGCAATGCCACAGTTGGGATCGAACCCGGCATTACGAGGCTCGTTCGTAACGTCTTAGCCACAGACGTAGACAAATTTATTTACAAATCTATGAGCCCAGACATAACTGACACGTGCGGCTATACTGAAAACTATAGGAGTACTGAAATGTACTCTGAAAGGGTGATGCTAGTACAGTTCTTCTTTGTTTTCGCTGCACAAAATACTTCAGTACAAAGATTACTTGATTGAATCCATGCCTAATACACGAATAAGAGAAGTCGCCTTAGCCTGGAATCAGGGAAGTCAATTTCACTTTTAAAATTTGATTTCATGCAGGCAGTTTGACGGACAACGGATGCAAAATACAGCCATTCTTTTTTTTTTTTAAAAAGGAAAAATACAAAAAATAAACAACAACAGGTCATCAGAGCGAATACGTGGAACATAATATCAATGGAATTTAATGACTAAAACGACTAATATTAATGTAATTTTGATACATAAAACAGAGCTTATCGTGGTCGGGTGCCTTGCTAGAGGGCGTATGCAGCTCCAAAAGGCACAGCTGTTAGTCTTCTGGTTAGTAATATTCATAAACCCTCTAACTCTGTTGGTCTTATAATCCATAATGATAACCTGGACAACTAATCTTCTCACCAACAAGTCACCAACTCACTTGTGTCCAACTTCTATATTTGTAAATAAAGTTATATTTTCAATGTATTACTGGAACGATTGACATTTTGAGGAATTGACATCTTGAGCGCCCACCCCCGAAAATTGCCCCCCATCCATTCCCCCCCCCCCACAAATTAGTGTGAGGCCTAACCGCCTCCTCCCTGTCCTAAACTTGCGCAGAAGTAATTCTTTTCAGTTTTTGTTTATACACATCATAGTACTGTAAATATATGTACTTTGTTTTTCAGCACATAATTACTATTGTTATTAATTACTTTAATTAAACTTAGGCCCATTGGGACCTCTCCAAAAATCAGTAAAGTGGGCTGAGCAATCCCTCCCCTTTAGGTTTTCTTTGTATCGGCGCATCTAGTGTAAGGCATACAAGACTCACATTTCAGCACCGTCTCGCTGTCATTCACCGAAAGTGAATAATTAAATAAGACAGATTACATCTTATGTATTACCGTATATGAAAACTCACTACTGACTCTACTTCCTATTTCTACTTCCGTCACTACAGTAATTTAAATAAGGCCAGTACATAGCCACACTCATGTATGTTACACATGACAAAGAAACATAAGAGAAAATCCAAGTATATATTACAAAGTAGGCTGATGTTGACTGAATCCTTGAATCCTTGCTTGACGAAACAGATGATGTTTATGACATTGGTCACTGCGCCAAAAACAACCATCAACTGGCCTAAGACTTGGAAACAAATCCATTGGAAAATCAACCTTGTCCCGTCGCTGACAATGTCGTCAAAGTCAATAGAAGCAACATCAGTATCTTCTGACTGTTTAATATAAAACTTGTCTGTGACTGTGATAGTCATATCTGTACAAAAGAAAACTGTGATTATAAACACATATTATATTATATTAGACCGAAACAATGTTAGTGTTGTTTAAGGATGATTTCAGCCCAGTTACTATATTATAAGCAGTTCAGCAAAATATGAACATCAACAAAGACTGGCCTAAAATGCTTATACGTTCTTTGACGTCATGATAGGAGATATTATAATCTAAAGTAAAGTAAAGATCCCTTTTCACGCCTTTAGACGCTTCGGGCATACGGGAAGAGCACCCATAATTTTACAGACCGATCGGCATTAGATGGGTAATGTGGTCACTATTACGCCAGTCGCCTTTACTTCCCCACGAAACAATTCGTGGTACCCATTTTAGGCTGGGTCAAACTGTGACGGCCCATACCATGATGAAATTCCACGCAGCAAGCGGTTGGTTTCGATCGCGGTACGTTGGAATTACGAGTTGGACTCGCAACGCCGTAGCCACGGACGCCGCAGATACTATAACTACTTCGCATAGACATGGTAAATAGCACTATTGCACCAAAGTACTGAGTACGCAGAGGAATGTCTAAATACAGTCAGATCGGTCGTAGTGACATAACACAACTATGGAGGTCTGGGTTCAGACTTCATGCGGCTCTTCACCGTGTAAAGTCGTCACGTCCCCATCGTTTTCCTTTAAGCGAGATTGAATAAAAACCAGAGATACGCTCGTAATATACCCACATTAATATTCATAACATAAGATAACTGTAGCGAGGCATCATTTAAAATATAATAACAGAAAATTGCATTCTCAATATAATACTAGAAAATTGCACTTGTTGTCGCGGGAAAAGGGGGTGGGGGGGGGGGGGGTTGTTGCCTGTAGACGGTAAGGCACTAAGCCGTAGCTGTGTTAGCTTATCCCTAAGCTCAGCTCTGCACTTAACGTAAAAACCTGTCAACCCGTTGGCCATATAGCGGCCCCTGATTTCTTGTACCTAGAAATATGTAAATTTAGGCGTGTTGGGCATATAGGGCTAGACCTATATTTGTATAGACCAATCGGCACAAATTGGGTGATGTGGTCGGCATCACGCCAGCCGCCTTTACTTTCCAGGACTGCACCCAGGACCCACTCAAGGCTGGGTCAACCTAGGAGTGAAGTAATTTTTGAAAAAAGTCCGGCTCCGCTAGAGAGCGAACCCACGACCTTCTGATCCGCATGCGAGCGTCTAGCCGCTAAGCCACGGTGACTCCTACCTAGAAATATGAATAATAATAAATAGTAACGAATTAAAATTTTTGTAATACGTAACGAAACATATGTTTACAAATTAACATTAATAGTATAATCAAAACAATGTTTTCCCGTAATGAATTTAAATAATGCGGATACAAACAAAACATTGCACAATTTATCCCTGTATCTCATCAAGCGTTACTACAGTTACATCAACACGTTACTTACGGTAAGCTTCCGGCGGCAACTAAACAGAGACAATGTATCGAAGAAACTAATTGCATTTCAGTTGAATTTATTCAGTCGTGGAGCTTTATTTTATGTTGATGTAACTGTAGTAACGCTCCTGATGAGATACAGCGAAATATGTCTGAGAATAAGTTGTGCAATGTATTGTTTGTATCCGCATTGTTTAAATTAATAGTATAGACATGTACAAGTTATGCAGTTTATGCCTTAGTTTTTTTCTTCCCTGTACAATCATTTCGACATCGAGGATTATAAGGTTGACTATAATATTAGTCAGCCTCATGGCTTAGGGGAGTTGCAATGGCGGTGCGGGTAGACGCTCGCCTGTGGATCGGAGGGCGGGAGTTCGCTCCCTGGCCGAGACGGATTTTTTTCAAAAATGACCGTGGCCCCAGGTCGATCCAGCCTTGAGTCGGTACCGGCTGCAATCCTGGAAAGTAAAGCCGACCGGCGTGATGCTGACCACATTTCAAATTGTTTGCCGATTAGTCTAAAAACATAGGCCTAGTCATATGTGCCCTATATGCCTAAATGCGTGTAAAAGGGTCCTTTACTTACTTTTACTTACTCTGTGGCCTATGTGTGGCAAAGGCGCTTCGCAAATCCAAAATACCTGGTTCGATGCCTTGTTGGCTCTGCAATCTTCTGGTCAGGAATTACCATGACATATGGAAGACCCAAAAATTTACATGCTACCACCATACTCTGCTCATGGAACAACTCGTGCCTTTGCTAATGGCCTTTTGTTCTTGTGTAAAGGCCACCACTACCCTCCCCCAACCATCACATTTCAGTCTTAATTTCCTACGCGGATCAACATGTAATTTGTTACCCAATAACACTGGACAAAAGTAGATAGTTAACACTCTGCCATGTAAAACCTATAGCTAATATGATTTCTAACGATAAATGAAGTGTTAATATTCGCTGTTTTTTTAAAAATCAATTTTCAGCCTCGAGACATAATTACTGTTGCAATACTATTTATTAAACATGAGCATTTGTGCGCGTGTGCGAGCTGGCCAGCGTGTGTACATGTGTGTTTAAATTATTAAAACATTAAAATACCAACTTAAGTTCTGATTTATTCATCGTACACTGGTAAATCACAGCATCAGTTTATATTATTATCAACAATAGTCATGTAACTTCTGTAAGATCATGTAAATTACACCCTTCCTAAATTGTTGATTATACTCGTACTTAATATTTAATAATTGATACTCTCAAGATTTAATTTGCGTTTACTTTTCTGTAATTTTCTGATGACGTCATGGGTCAAAACAAAGTTACACGACCTGATTATTACTGATAATGTACACATTATTGTACGCATTAATAACTATTATGTTTAAAACTCAAATACTTTGAATGCATTTTATTATGGCTGGCAGTTAGTTTGCTTTCAAAACTCTGATAGTGGTAAATGTGACTTTATAATTAAAATAACGTTTTTTGAAAGAATAAAATAATGACATGTTTTGAGCTAGTGTATTTATTTATGAATAATATGTAAGTTTGCAAATTAGTAGGATTTAAGTGATAATTAAAATACAGGCAGACACTATAATTACCATGTATGATAATAAAACACACTGTGTGAAGCTAGCAGTCACGACAACCCAGCAAATGGTATGCACAGGGGGGTGAGGGTTGTTCAAGTGCGGATATCTGGACACGTGAATGTACTGACTTCGTGGCTTCAGGGTGAGGATTGTACAATGGCAGATATCTGGACAAGTGAACGTAGTGACTTGTATGGCTTCATAGTGACGAGTGTACATGGGCAGATATCTGGACAATGAAGGTAGTGACTTGTGTGGCTTCATAGTGAGGAGTGTTCATGGGCAGATATCTGGACGAGGAAATAGGAATGATGATGAATTAATATGAGACAAAGAAGTTTGCGTAGTGTGAACACTATAAGCAGCCATGTGGGTGTTAATGGCATCATGTATCGCTTTTGGCTTGCTCGTTCTCTTGACCTGACCCAAGTAAACACGCTTAGGACACGTTTGGAAGAGCGATACATCGGATTCGGCATCAGCACCAGACGTTTATTGTCCTGCAGGACGCTTTAAAGTCTCACGCTGTAGCATTTTCTCAAACTGACCCTAACAGACTTATAACTTTAGTTGCACGTTGTGTTCACATGTGCATTGACCATGTCGAGAGTCACACTCGCTGTCGATGGCAGATAAACATTCAATTACTTTCTAATTATAAAAAATGTTTAAGTCCTTTTTTTTTTCAAGTGCTGTTTCACTACATTTCTTTACTTTCATGTGAATTACACCACACGAAAATAATAATAATAATGGTAATAATAATAATAATAATTTGCTGTTTCATTAATTAGATTTCATTTTGTGTGTTTTATCTATTCCACTTTAATACAGCTTCAAAGACATGTTCCTTATACATTTTGTGAAGAATATATATTATGTATATATATATATATATATATATATATATATATATATATATATATATATGTGTGTGTGTGTGTGTGTTTATATATATATATATATATATATATATATATATATATATATATATGTATATATAAACACGCACATATATAATCGGCCGTCTCGTGTGACCTGAATTTAATAGGAAGAGAATCTCGGAGTCAGTTTTAATTTGAAGACATCTTATGCAGTATCCAATAGGATATGCTCTTCTTCTTATCCTTATGTTTGGATGAGTCAATGGAATATGCGCCTACAACCAATCCATGCCAAACATTTTGTAGACTTTATTCGGGTCTGCAGCTGAAGCTTCTACAGGATGAAGTTACCACTTACCTGACATTCTTCCCAGTAGTTTCTGTCAGCGAGTATGATACATGCTTAATGACTTAAAAATGCATCAACAGTCACGCGATCCCAAGCATCGAATAAGATCTTTAGATATTAGGAAGTGGTTTAGTGGCTTTCAATGTTAGTGTCCCCGTGTGGGTTCTGAATTACTATTTTTAGGGGACAAAAAGAATCGACCCGTTGTCTCACAAAAGCGTGTCGTGGCAGATGACTAATTATGGGTGTGCTGAAATCGGATGTGTAAAGCCGAATAGCGCAGATAACCCAGCCTAGTGGTAAACTACAGCAGAACATACCAACCGATCTTTAAAAGGCGAACAGAGGAGAAGAAGACGGTCACGTTAACGGTACCAGGAAAAAGGAGACACGTGGAGAACATCAGGTGTCTCTTGTCTGCCAGGGTGGTCTCCCTAGCAGACTGTTTCACAATAGAATCATCAGCGAAACATCGAAGGTCGTACTTTGCCGTCAATACCTACAGCAGTAGCTAATAGTGTTTAGAAAATTGATGTAACGATTGAAAGAGGAGAAGGAAGATCCCAGACAACAGTTAGTGGTATAATATTAGAACATCACCGCGTTTGTGCAGTAAATAGGAGACTAGTTTTCCAATCCAGCTACGATTTGCTGCAGCCCACTGCAGTGTTTGAAACCGAGTGGTCCCAGGGGTTCACCCAGCCTCTAGGTAATGGGTACCAGATTTAACACACTCTGGATAAATA